CCAGTTGTTCATGATTTTCTTTTACAATCCAGAAGGGGCATGGGTCAGATCCATAAGTCTTGGATCAAGACTCCTTTGTCCAGAACTTCTTCATGAACGAATGAACTGAACTTTGGAAATGCAGGAGATCTGTGGGGTGGTGGGTATAAATAGATCTGTAGGGTTTAAAAAGCTTTCCTGAGTTTGCATGATCTTTTCAGAGAAGTAGGATGATAGTTTTTTGCCATGCTTGGTGTTCTGTTTTGATGCAGCCTATAGGCACTCAGGACTGACAAAGAGGTTTATCACCCTGGATAACTCCTTGGGCAAGATTGGCAGACACAATGGAGATTGATGGGAAGATTCTTTTAAATTGTTCTTCTTAGCATATGCTCAACATTTCTCCGGTGGCACATGATCAGGATTCATTACCAAATTTGGTCCTGTGGTCCAGATACTGATGGGGAGTACAACATGTATTAGCATAGGCTTTAAGAAATTTGTTGTTTCATAATGTCTGAATCAGCCTTTGTTTACCATCACTGGCACTTGAGTTTCTGCTCCTCTTCAACCATTGCAAGGAATCAGAAAACCAAGATCTATGTGGGCAATAGGGAGGAAGAGGTGGAATGGGCACAAGCACATCAGTGACCAGTAATTCACCAGAGCCTAGACTCCTCATATTGTGTGTGGGGTGCTATTAGCCCTTGGCAACCTCTGCATTTTGTTGGAGTCCATGAGTTTTTATAGTCAGATCAGGCTCATTGGTCTTTCTTGTCTAAATGATGGAAGGTTCTCTGGCCACTAGCCTAATGAGGTGATGGGTTATCCAAAACTGTGGCTGGGTTGTGATGTCCCTTGTCTCGATGCCTGGGCTACAAATCAGAGTGTGACCAGCTGTGAGGCTGGTCTAGAGATGATCTGTGAGGGTGTTGACAGAGAGGTCTAGTCTAGACACACCCTGAAAGTCCTAAGGAAGCAAGACAAGAGATGAACTTTTGTTGGACTTTTGCTTCTACGACCTTTTTCAGTGTGTATGTTGAAATCTTCCAAGATGACAAATCTGGGGTATTTCACCACCACTGCCCCTGGAGCCACTCTTCTAATTCCTCAGTATTCCTGGCAGATTCAGCCACTTTGTATGATGTAGATGTTGAGGAGAATAATACTTGTAGTCTTCTATACTTGGTAGTATATTTGGTAGATTAAGTGGGGTTTTGGCCCAAAGACTAATATCAAAAGGCATCAAGATCTTCTTTGACTTCAGTGGAGTTATACCAAGGATTAATTTGGCCCATGGTGTATTTCAGAAAGTAATTGTGAGCTTTCAAAAATAAATAAAAGGTTGTTGATAACAGAGAAACGTTAACATTTCCCTTTTTCAGGACTATTACAGGTTGTGGATTGGCACCTATTCTGGTAATGCTGGTGATGCTCTGTCTGGCGGGAGTAACTTTGAAGAGCAGTGGTCAGCATCACTCAGTGGGATGCCATTCTCCACAGCAGACAAGGATCATGATAGATTCTTAGCAGGCAACTGTGCACAAGAGAACAAGTGTGGTTGGTGGTTTAACAGGTATGGGAAGAAGTTGACTGTATCCAGTAGTGTTACACATGGCACTGAGGCAGGGGATATAGCAATAGTCTGTGTTTTTCATTACAATTCAAATCAGAAAAGTTTAAATAGCTTTTACGATGACTTCCAGAATCAAAGCATAAGAGAAGTGGCCTGTGCACCAAGGGCATGAAGAAAACAGTTCTAGCCACAAAGAAGCTCATCTGGCAGTTAGAGTGCATGTTAAAGGCATTTTTTCTAGTTTGGAGTGATTAATTTTGAGCTTTCTATAACATAAATGGCCATAATTATATATTCTTTTATGTTATATTGCATTGGTGGGTATTACCAGTATGTTAGCAATTACTGGATCTGGTCCCACAGACCGTCTGTGCATGGAACACACACTGAAGTCAGTACTTCTACATGTGGATAGTTGGCAAAACTAAACCCTTTGTTTTATATTAAGTCCTTGTAAGTCAGGTCCTCATCAGGTGTAAACTGGCATAGACCCATTGAGTTCAAATGTATATCAGTAAAAATTGTGATTTGTGGTAATGATGCAATGTCTTCTCATGCTAAACTCTTTACCCACCCCTTCCCTTTTTGTTCCTACAAGATGCCATGCAGCTAATCTCAATGGACAATATTACAAAATGGGAAACTACACAGGACGCCATGATGATGGAGTGGTTTGGTCAACCTGGCATGGATTGTGGTACTCCCTGAAATACACAGCCATGAAAATTAGGTTTCCATCCTTTGTCGATGTAGGAAGTGGAAATGGTGAAAGCAGGTAGGACAGCTAGAATCCGCATTGTTGGAGTGGATCAAAAGGGTTTTAGAAATCAAGGGACAGACCTTCAGATGATGTAAATCAGCACAGCTGCACTGTAGTTATTGGGGCTTGATCATTTTATACCAGTTGACGATACATCCCCAGAGTACAATAATATGCCGATAGTATGGTCTAATGGAGGATGGTAAGTGTCTCTCATTCTTGTTAAAACCAATGGAAACACCACAAGTTTGTTTTCAAAAGATCTTTAATGGAGATGAAAGTACTTAGCACTTCACAGTAAGCTCTCTGCACCTTGTAGAATCAGATACTTACTCCTCTTAGCCATTTGTATCTTAGAACAGCCATATTCTTCTCACCTTGATTTCAGAGGTCAGTGAATGCGGTAAGTGGTATAAGAACACAGAAACAAAAGAATAAGGATTTGGCCCTAAAGTTATCAGCTAGATCTAGGTCCAACATTTAGATTTTGCTTTGAAGTGGACTTTGCAATGCCTAGTATGAATGCAAATATTCTGGGGATTTTTTTATTTCAGTTATAGTTTGTTTATTTATATGTTCTTGTCAATGTTCTGTACCAGACTATGTTGTGCTAGTGAATGAGATTTAGAAAGCTTTCTTCTAGTTGATAGTTCACATTCACTTCATCATATTAGCCAAGTGAAATCAGAAAAGTGTATGGCACAAGTGAATGAGAATAGAATAACAGCAAGGAATGTAAAGCTAACTATTGACTCTCTTCCAATAATTTAAGTTGTTAGTAACAAAAGATTTGGGCTAGACACAGATCCTTTAACCTCAATGCTGTAAAATGAACCTACGCTTTGTGTATTACAAAATATGCTCTTTTAAACTAGTTGTTCTTTTCAATTATTTTATTTTTCTTTTAGATAAATGCACACTGCAATTTGTATTATATTCATATACATGTGAATTAAAATCATTTGAATGGAAATATACATTGTTTCTGTTCTTAAACAACACTGAGAGACAGACAAAAATTTGGCTGCAAAGTCAGAAATGGTTTCAAGAGATGATGCTCCAAGGCATTTCATTCACACTTTTATCTCTGGATCTAGTAAAATTTTTAGGGCCTGTAAGACAAGCTAAATTTGATTTATTCAAGCAACATTGGGAAAGCTGTAGATCATGGATGTTCAGTGTCAAATTTTACATGCTCTGCTTCCTGATAGCTCATCTGCCTAAAGACAGAAGAATCAAATCTTGTTCTCCATTACATCTCTTTTTGAGTAGACAACACTTTGGTTACAATGCTGAGTGATATCCATTTAGTGATATCCATTTTTGCTCCCACTGTGCTAGCACACCAGTGAGAAACAGCCACAGGGGCTGAAGCCTAAGAAGAATGCATGGATGTCCTCAGTCCAAGCAGTAGCACGTAACTCATGAGAAATGAAAACACCTGTGTCTTTGGAATAAGAAATGTGCTGGTCATCAGAGAGAGTGGAGTGGAGTCCAACACCAGAACTTCTTATACTACTATTCTGTTCTTCACACCAGTAAAGCCTTGCCAAAAGGCCATAATTAGGTACCTAGAGCATTTTGTTACCTGAAGAGTTACCAGAAGAAATTAGTGCTAACCTGATGGCTCTTGCCAACCTGGATTTATCATAGAGTACAACCACATAACAGTGCAGCCCTTGACATAAAATCCAGTAGTAATAAGGAAGCTTCTGTTCCCGGAAAAAAAGCGGCGGCCATGTTTATTTAAATCCCGCGGGGGATATTTAAATATCCCCCGCGGGATTTAAATAAACATGGCCGCCGCTTTTTTTCCGGCTTGGGGAAAAGCCGGAAAAGAGCGTCTAGACTGGCGCGATCCTCCGGAATAAAGCCCTTTTCCGGAGGATCTCTTATTCCTACTTGCAGGTACCTATCTGATCTGAGCTAGAGAGCTGGGCTCAGACACTTCCCAGGGTATGGTATGCAGATTGTTGCTGCCGGGTGTTAGACTGCTGTTCAAAGTGGGTCTCTGTTGTATCACATGCAGCATTTTCTCTGGTGCCACAGGAGCACCTGTTTTGGGAGGCTCAACTAGGTCAGTTGCAGGCCTTCAAATAGCTCTTACAGCACTGCAAATTCTAAAATCCACAGATAGTGCCACTGTCCGGACAATGGGCTTCAGACCCCCTGGTTTTCAGTGATGCACATTTGGCAAATACCTGAAGCAGTAAACATACTAGATGCCTGATCTCAAGGCCATTGAAGTCAGGGGGAAGTCCTGGCCCTGAATATTGGGTAAGTTTGAAAACACTTTACACACTGTAGTTAGTCTAGGGTGGCCATGCATAGTGGCTAGTTAATATAGAAACTGATCTTAACACGGATTATCTCACCATAGCCCATTCCTAAAATGGGCTGAGCAGTCACACAGCCTGCTGGAACAGGCCCTGAGCAAACAGTGACTCACCTCATGTAAGTCAGGCCTGCCCTCGCTGTAGCTAGGCTGATGTAACATAGCCAAATGATGATATTTGCGAAAGCAGGGAAGTTTAACTACCTATAACTAAAACCTGAACAACTCACTCACTATACTATACCAATGAACCACAGCAGACTGCGTGTTGCAGGTTAGCAGCTGTGTGCCATAATAGGTGCATCCAGCTGGTGCTTTTGACAATCTGCTGCTTTACTAATGCATACCTTGGTGTGCCTTATTGCGCTGTCATTTTAAATTGTTTTCTTTAAAAAAAACCCACACAATTCTGTAAAATATTCAGTTGCCTTGTGCTTTGAAAATTAGTGAAAGGATCAGCCAAACTAGGTGGGTGAAGGTTATAGACATCATTTTCCCTCCTAATTGGAATATACTTATTGTGAATTGATTTTTCTCATTTTTTCTCTCTCTCTTTCTCTAGCCTTTTCTCAGGAAGACTCTTTTTGAGCTCTTTACACCCTTGTCCCCCTTCCTTCTCCTCTCCTCCCTCTGTTGCACATTAGCCTGGTTGATTTTTCAGCAGCAGTTTGTTGCTTTGCAATCCTTTTATAACTAGTATTCAAAAGGTGGTCCTGATCCTGCAATGGACAGCACATGGACATTCTTCTATGAGTGGTCCTCGTGGATGCTCCACTCATGGTGTCGGGCTCATCCCAGCGCCGCTCGGAGGCTTTACATAGCTGTATTCAGCTGGGTTGCGCGTGCGCGGTGTGCAGCACGTGCCGTTCACGCTCTTTGATCTTTGCGCGCACCCGGTTTACTTGTCAGTTCGTCTCAACCATCCCTGGCCTCAGATGGAGCTTCAATCTCTCTCATCATCCCTTCAGTTTTTCAGTCCCCTCAAGGGGTCTGTAGTTAATTACTTGTAAATAGTTATCCCTTTGTTCATTCTTCTTGTCTTATCTAAAAAAAAAAAGTGTACCCTATGCAGTGAGCCCATGTCAGCTTCGGATGGGCACTCACGTATATACACTGTTTCCCCAGTGACCTCAGCAGTACTTTCAGTCATTGACAAACCTGAACTCCAGGAACGTAACGCGAGTACTGCTACAAAGTCACCATGAGTGGAGCACCCACGGGGTCCCATCTCGAAGAACCATCATTACTGCACGAAGGTGAGTAACTTCTTCATCTCATGCATCTGGGAAGGTGTAGAGAATCTACCTGTGCATTATAAATTGCAGTTTCTGAGCCTATATTTGGAATATTGAGCACTTCCAAATTTACTTTTCACTAGAAGGTGGATTACAATTGACTAAGGGACAAGCTGCTGAAAGGCAAGCCTGGCACTCAGAGGCCTAGGTAGTTTAAAACTGTGAGATCTTTCTCCCCCACCTTGGGTGTGTCTAGACTACATGCCTCCTTCGACAGAGGCATGTAGATTAGCCAGATCGGAAGGGGGAAATGAAGCCGCGATTAAAATAATCGCGGCTTCATTTAAATTTAAATGGCTGCCCCGATCTGCCGATCAGCTGTTTGTCGGCAGATCGGG